AGCGTTGAAGCAACAACCAATGGTGCCAAGTCGGTGCCACCATGCCCCTCATGAGGTAGCCGACGGCCTGCTGGATGCCGAAGCGGTCGTATGCGACGTAGAGTGCGGTAGGCGCCATGCTGCGGTAGGTGGTCGCGTACTCCGTGCTGAGCTCGCCGGATGACTCTCTGCAGTCCTTCCCGATTGTCTCGGGAGACGGGGTGACCGCGCGCTTGGTGGTGTTGCCCTCGCCGATCTTCCTGCTGAGCATGGTGCTGCCCAGGACCCCCGCATGCTTGCGATCGCGCACGATGCCGAAAACTTCGGGACACCACGCCACTGTGCGCTTGAGGAAGCTGCCTGGCTCAACTCCTCTTTGCCTCGGGCTCCCGGCCCTGGGCATCACCTTGACCTTGAAGCGACCTCTCACCAGCTCGTCCAGCCAGTCGAGCGCGTCTCTCCTTCCTCCAGCCAGAAAGCCGCCACCATGCACAAGCACCATCAGCAGGCACCCCTTGCGGTAGTAGACTCGAACAGTCACCTTGGTGCGGACGAAGCCTCCTTTCTCCATGACCTCCATGATCAGGTTCTGAAACAAGGACCAGGCCCTCCTGGTGCCGTAGAGGGCCCTCTTCAGCTGATACGCGATGCCTTCGGGCCCCTCTCCCTTGGGCGGCACCACGTAGATGTCCTCGTCGATATACGCGTGGACGAACGCCACCGACACGTCGTAGAGAGCGAGCATGCCGTCGTAGCCGACCCCCGTGGAGTAGAGGCCTGATGCGAAGGAGACCACCAGCCTGAACGCGGCCAGCGGCGGCGTGCCTGCGAAAGCGTCGTCCCGCACGTCCCAGGCGAACTGCGTGGCCACGAAGCGCGACCTGACCGACTCCCTGCCGCCGTCGTCGCAGGGCTCATCGTCGGCCCACTTCCCGCGGACGCGCTTGCCCTTCGCCAAGTTCCTAGGCGCGCGGTCGAAGACCTGGAATTCCTCCATCTGCCTGTGCTCATTCTCCCTGCCCTGCTTCACCAAGGAAGGGCCCGGCCTCCTGCCTGACCGAGCCCCGAACACGTTCTGGTTGGTCGACTCCCTGTCGCAGAGGCTGTGCTTGATGGTGTCCATTTCGCTGTCGTAAGGAATGGCGTCGCACGTCAGCGCCAGCACTGCGGTCGCCACGATGACGAACAGGCCCGCGATCACCTTCTGCTTCCTCCTCGGCTTCTCCCACCACGGCCCCGCCCCAGTCCATCTCGATCATCCCGAGCTCCATTCCGTCCTGCTGCTCCGCGCTGGAGGTTCCTCCTGCATCGGATCCGAGGGGGCATCTGCCTCAAGCCGACGCCTGCGCGGTCGCCCGCCTTGATCTGCCTCCGGACCATGTAGGACAGCAGGCGGTGCTGGAGACGATGCTGCTGGCGCAGGTTGCTCGTCGGCGGGCGCAGGCTGAGCAGGCTGATATCCTCCTCCTGCGGGCGCTGCAGCTGCTGCGGAGGCGGCTGCTCGAACTGCTGCCCGCTGCTTGTCTTTCTCCTCCTCGGCCTTCAGCAGGCTCTCGATCCGATCTCTGCAGGACTCGGCGCGTGGGTAACCAAGCCCGCAGCGGCCGTCGCAACCAAGTGCAGGTCCAACTCGATCGATGATGCCCCACGTGATGTAGCGGCGGCGAGGGGGAGGCGGTGCTGCCTCAGGTCCTGCGCGAGTGTCCCACGGCGTGCAGTCGACCTTGTTGAACAGGCTATTGGACCATCGCTGGTCCTCAACTCGCCGGTTGGTCGTCCTCGCCGTCTTCCGACCAGCAGCGGTCGCCATGAGGTGCTCGCCCATGCGGTTGTCCTTCCCGACCCAGGGGGGTTTGCCCCAGCGGATCTCTGCCGCGTGGTGGGCCACATTCTGGATCTTGTACATCGCCGTCTCGCCGAACTCGCAGATCGCTCCTCCGTGCGCGCGGCCCTTCAGGTTCTGGTAGGGCGCGAGGCCATCCTCCTTCGCTGGGTACCTTGACAGGGACCATCCTGCATGCCGAATCATCCAGCCAATGATCCAGTGGTTCAAGGTGGGCTCGGTGCTGTACCTCGACTTGACGGATGCCCTCAGTGTGCGGAACATGCATTCGACCATATTGTTGGCGTTCTCGAACGCCCCCTTGCCCTTGGGATCTCGCCCAGGTCTGCCGTGAGGCACTGTCTCTTCCTCTCGAGCCAGCTGCGCTGCTCGGACCAAGGCTTGGATAGCGGGCCCCCCATCAGCTCCAAGAAGAACGCGGTCGAGGCCCCACATGCGCATCGCCGCCGTCGCCACTGCTACGGCATCGTTTACAGGCCCCATTCACGGTCACCTGCGCGCACTCGATCGCGCCCGACTGGTACTCCAGGAAGTCCAGTACTGCGAGGGGGTCGCCTTCGATGTCTCCGAGGAACAAGTCGTCGATGCAGACTAGCGGGACCAGGCGGCCGGGGTCCGCTAAGCGCGCGAGGACCCTCCTGACCACGGTCCATGATGCAGAACAAACACCACGCGCGGAAGGGCCAGTGCGATGACGACGCTGGTCTCGAACCGCTCGGTCTGGCATCGCTGGGACCCCTCTCGCCTTGGCCGCCGCGGCTTCTCCAGAACCCGCAGTAGCGCTCCGTCTTCTCGCTGTCGTCGAACGCCCTCACGTTGATCTCCTTCCTGGTCTGGTTGATCCTGGCCATCGCCGGCAGCTGGCGGCGCCGGTGGAGGTGGCGGTGCCGGTGGATCGGCGTCGGCCTCAGTCTCTGCATCTCCCTCGTCAGCAGGTGCTCGCGCGGAACAGCTCGGGCCTGAGTGTTCGGCTGCACGGGGTTGACGAGGATCGGCTCGGCGACGTTCTCGACGGGCCTCCTGATCCTGAGCCAGAACGCCCTCCCGCTCCTGCACTGCTTGATCTCGCAGCCGTCCGCGAGTAGAATGTAGGGCTCCTTGCCGAGGATCGGGACATGACCTCCCTCCGTGAAGGCGCGGGCGCTCACGATGGCGCGCCTCGCGTTCGTGACCTGGAACTCGATCTGAAAGGGTACTACGTCGCTCTCGGCTGCCACGATCCTCGCGCCCATGGACTTGACCTCGTCGCCAGTCGCCGGCTCGCAAAGCGGCGGCTTCTTGGGCGGAAGCATCTCGGTCATGTTCGCGAACTCCTGCGGGCAGGTGGTGAGCCCTGAGCCTGCATCAAAGAGCGCCCAGTCGAACTCTGCTGAGTCGCCGACCGTCACTGGCAGCGCATCGCACTGCGTCGCGGCGCACATCATGCCGACCTGCCAGTAGTACTCCTCGGGAGTCGGGATGTCAGCGTCGCCTGCCACCTGGATGTTCGCGATGAACGGTAGCGCTCGTCGAAGGTGGACTCCGCTGCTGTTGCAACTGCATCTGGGCTCCGACTGCCGCCGCGTGAGACGCGTCGATCGTGGGGGCCAAGCTGCTCTGCGAGCCAGTGCTGCCCCCCTTCAGCGCCGTCGTTGCCGTCGAGGCGGAGGGCTGCACCTGGGTCGCGTCCGTCAGCGATACGACAGTCCTGCCCTTCTTATCGCCCGCCTTCCTCTTGCGGCAGTCGGCTGCGAGGTGGCCAGCCTTGCCGCAAGAGTGGCAAATGCGGGTCTCTCGGCCCTTGCTCTTGGAGTCGCCCTTCTTGCCCTTGGAGTCGCCTTTCTTTCCTTTGCCGTCCTTGCCTTTACCCTGGCCGTCTTTGCCCTTGCCTTTACCGATTGCATCGACCTGCATCGGGGCTACGCCGTCGCCTCCAGAATCCGCTGCTGCCCAACGTCGCTACGATGAGCCGATCGTCTTCAGCTCCTTCTTCAGGTCGTCGTACGTGGCCAAGCGCGAAGCATTCAAGCTGAAGTGGCCCGCCAGCTTTTCGTTTTTGATGCCCGACATGATCGCACCTCGCTTCACGCTGTCCGAAATCACTTCGCCGCTCTGGTCCGTGCATTCCCTGGCGAGCTGCTCGAACTCCGCCAAATTCGCCATCACGGGGTCCGCAAACTCGTATCGGATGATCCGACCGAGCATGGCCGCGAACCTGTTCGCCACCTTCGTCGCGAACTCTCGAAGCAGGTGCCACCACCCACGCAGCGAGCCCGTCTCCTCGCGGGGCTTCCCTGACCTCGACCTTGGCCACATCCGACGTCACCGAGACCAGGATGTAGTACAATTGTGTGTTGAGTGTGGCGCCCAGCTCGGTCTGCGCCGTCAGCAAACCCGCCGTTTTCGACGCCTGGTTGAGCAAGTCCCCCAGCCGGGGGTGGACCGCGAACACGTAGACCTCGAAGTCGAACGACCATATCTTCCACTCCGGGTGCAAGCCCGTGAACTCCCGCGGCTTGTTCAGCAGTCTCGTGTCCACGACCTGTCCGCTGCTCGGACCTGGTGCTGCTGCTGCGGCTGGCCGCCGTCGCGCTTTCCAGCACGCTGCTCGCCCATGGCCAGACGCTGCTCCGCGGCGCCCAGTCTCCGACGCAGATTCTCGTTCTCCGCGAGCACCTCGCGGTGCCGTGTCACCTCGCCGTCCATGAGACGGACGCGCTCCGCGAGGGCCTCCATCGCCGCGGCTCCCGCCACGGCAGCGTGACCGAGGATCACCAGGACACGGACACGGAGGGTGATCCTGCTTCGGCCACGCTCCGCTACCATCCGCGGAATCGCGCTAGTATCACATGATCGATACTGGGCCCCGCAGGGCCTCGAGAGGGTCTCTTTTCACCTCAGGGCGCTAGAGCCAGAACGGTTGCGGTAACGTCAAACGCTGAAGCACCAGTCGAGCCTCAAACCCGATCCGAAACCTTTCGGAGGGGGAGAGCTTCTGTACTGCATTCCTTGATAAATATATATATATATATATATATAAACAAAAAAAAAAAAGCGCGAAACCCCGAGGGGGGGACTCCGAGTGAAAAAAGAAAGTGTGCACCAAGGAGGGGGGGTCAACCAGAATTATATTCAAGAGTGAGAACTCAACATTACTAGCAAGAAAAACTCAATGCGGGGAAGAGGGAGTAGCAGCAAGGGTGGCGGCAGAAGGAGAGGGGGGTGGACCGCTGGGCCGGATGCCAGTGCCAGGCAGCCTCACGCTGGCGCCAGCGCGGCCCCGCCGCTCCGGCCAGCCGCTCGACCGTCACCGGGCCTCTGCCCAGCATGGGCCTGGCACGGGCGCAGCACAGAATCGAGGAAGGAAGGGAGAGGGTGACGGGGATTTTTGGATTGCGCTGCTGATGAAGCATATGGCCTGTCAGCTAATGGCGGCGCTGCAGCTAGCAGAGGCGGTCAGCAAAGTCAGCTCGTGCTGGCGGAGGGAGGAGGGAGGAGGGAGGCAGTGGCGGGGGGGGGGAGGAGGGGGGAGGGAGGAGGGAGGACGGCGGCGACGGCGAAAGTGGCCTGCGTCGCGAAGGCGAGGGGGGGGCAGCACGCCGCCGCGCGACGTCGAGTCTGCTGTTTGGCCTCCTCCTCCTCCTTTTCCTCCTCCTCCTTTTCCTCCTCCTCCTCTCCTCCTCCTCCTCCTCCTCCTCGTCATCGTCATGGTCGTCGTCATCATCATCATCATCATCATCATCATCATCATCATCATCATCATCATCATCATCATCATCATCATCATCAGCATCATCATCATCATCATCATCATCATCATCATCATTCATCATCATCATCATCATCATCATCATCATCATCATCATCATCATCATCATCATCATCATCATCATCATCATCATCATCATCATCATCATCATCATCATCATCATTCATCATCATCATCATCATCATCATCATCATCATCATCATCATCATCATCATCATCATCATCATCATCATCATCATCATCATCATCATCATCATCATCATCATCATCATCATCATCATCATCATCATCATCATCATCATCATCATCATCATCATCATCATCATCATCATCATCATCATCATCATCATCATCATCATCATCATCATCATATCATCATCATCATCATCATCATCATCATCATCATCATCATCATCATCATCATCATCATCATCATCATCATCATCATCATCATCATCATCATCATCATCATCATCATCATCATCATCATCATCATCATCATCATCATCATCATCATCATCATCATCATCATCATCATCATCATCATCATCATCATCATCATCATCATCATCATCATCATCATCATCATCATCATCATCATCATCATCATCATCATCATCATCATCATAGCATCATCATCATCATCATCAGCATTATCATCATCATCATCGTCGTCGTCGTCATCGTCATCATCAACAGCATCGTCATCGGCATCGTCAACAGCATCGTCTTCATCACCAACACCGCCTTATCAGTATTACCATCATCAGCCTCATCATCAGCACCATCATCATCATCATCATCATCATCATCATCATCATCATCAGCATCATCATCGTCGTCGTCGTCATCGTCATCATCATCATGATCATCATCACCATCATCATCACCACCATCATCACCACCACCACCACCATCATTATCATTGTGAAAAAAACCCCAGAGCCCTCGCGCGACAACTTGAGACCTAAATTACGTCGGATCCACGTCGGAATTACGCCGGATTTACATCGGAACATCGCCGCGCGAATGTCGCCTCATGTCTGACGGGGCGGACGTGTGGACTGGATCATACAACGGTTGCCCGCCGCGCGAGGCCGTCAGGAGTCTCCTCACAGCAGAATCCCTATTCCTGCCCCAATCTCCACTAGGCAAGGGCACCTCAGCGCCACCAGCCTACCCCCGCAAAGTGCCGCAGACTGTTGGAGCAGAAACTGTCGAAGGTCCGCGCGGGGTTCTCTTGGATCGGCACTGGACCGGCCCCCCATGGAACGCGGAGCACGCGCCGTCAGGGGATCCAGTACAGATCCAGAAATCCGCGCGGACCTTTAAAGTCTATGGCTGAGCTGGTGTTTCTTCTTCGACTCTAAGGGAGACAAGCGAGAAAAGCAGAAAAAGGTGGAGGGCGTGGGAGAGTAGGGCGAGCGGGGATAGCGCGAACCAGACGTTCCAAAAGATGTACGTAGCCGACTCAAGACATCACATATCGCAGGTTCCCTTCTCCCATACCAAGGCCGTTCAGGGCGACAGCTCACCCGAAAACCAACCGAAACCGAGGCTGACCGAAATCAGCAGGCCGCCAACCAACAGCCTAGAAGGGCACAGCGACGAAGTAGCGAAACAACAACCATACGAATCGAAACGACCGAACGCAGCCGACCGCGATGCAGCCGAACCGACCGAACCGCGGACACTCTCGGCAGTGACAAGATTCACCAATTGACTTCGGGCTGGACTTATGCATTTTATGGCACAGGTATGCCATATTATTGTCTGCCGAAACCCACAAGAAAGACGCAATGCACCTGCAGAGCTTTAGAGAAACCGCCTGGTGTGTGTTTGACGTGAGCATCACCAACGACCCCGTACGAAATGCCCACATTGGGGGACTGGACAACATGCGCCACCGTGTCCCGTGGCACGTTGAGGCGTGTCAGAACCGGGGCCGGCACGGGAACGGAAAGAGCGCTTCAGGAACTTGCTCGAGAGGATTGATGGCACTGCTCGTTTTTGGGAGTCTTGGCAAAAAAAGCTGTTTCACGTCACAACTTGTGTCACGTCATCGTTCGCTCTTGGGAGACGGCGCTCAAAGCTTTTTACGCTTCAGCTAGCCTACAGAGGTGCTTTCCGCCCTTGGGCCACTGGGGAGCCGCGGCGTCAAAGCTGTGTCCGTTACGGGGCCGTCTGCGGGCGGCGTTCAAAGACTCCTCCATCAGAGGCCTTTCGGGACACGGTTTCGAAGGACTCCACCACGAGCCCTGCGAACATCCAGGAGCTGGGGTTTCTCGGAGCCTTGGGGCGGGTCCTCTGGGGGGCCCTCGGGGTCGTAGTGAAGCCTTCTTGGGCCTTCCTGGGAACCTTTTGCGCCGCCGTGCGGGGCTGCGACCGTCTCGGACCCTCTGAGGGCCACGTTGGGCCCTCTGGAGCCCTCCTCGGGGCTCTCTTGGGGCTCTTCTGGGAGCCTCCTGGAACCCTCTTGGGCCGTGATGGGGCCCTCTGGGGCCGTGGCGCCTTTTGGGCACTCTCGGGCCGTCGGAAGCTCGAAAAGACGAGACACCTAAAGCATTCAACAACCTGAAGAACATGAATTTGTTTGCCTCCTGATGCCCTTGGGAGCCCTCTTGAAGACCTCTTTGGCCGTCTCGGGGGCCCCTTCTGACCGTCCCGAGGCCGCCCACCTTTGGCCATCTTGGAACGCGTTTGGTCGGTTATGGGCTCTTTCTTCTAGGGCGCTATTGAGCAGCCTTGGAACCATGTTGGTCGTGTCTTGGCAACCGTTTTGGAAGCCTCGTGTGCCCTCCTTGGGAGGGGGGGCGTGTTACGTTGGCCTGGGCGCGCTCCCCCCCTCCCCTGGAACCCCTCCCTAGAGGGCGTCGCCCACCAAAACGTGATCACTCGCACCTCGCCCTTTCCGACATGCCAGGTGCTGCTTTGCGGTGTTTTTGTTTGCATGACCCCCTCCCTCTACGAGCAGACTGTTGCTTGCACCGCCCCCCCGTTCCCCGAGGCAACGATCCCTCGTGAGAGAACAAAATACCCGAATAGCAACGAAAATGTGGAGGCGGATGGACGCCTGAAACGTCGGCTTGCGAGAACGACCTCTTCATATTGTCGATACGATTACGGAATCGTATGTTCTGATGAAGGTGACGTTAGTGCTGTCGGCATGATGGCATGGACGCGCCTGGAACACCAGCAGGGACAGAGCGGCACCACTCCTGGCCGCTGGAATGCTGAGAGGCCTACGGCCCTACGACTCCTTTCTGGGAACAGGGCAGCTGGAATGGTGATAACCCGAGGCCCTTACCCCAATGTCTGGACCTGCGACGGCCGAAATCGAGCCAGAATACCATCATGGGTCAGAAGAAACAGGTAGAGTAGGGAGGCGCTGGAAGTAGATTGGAAGCCGGGGCTCCGAATCTACTTTCAACAACCGATGGGTAAATGTCTGGACCTGCGAAGGCTGAAACCGAGCCAGCATACTCGGCCCTCCGTGTGGACAGACTGGTGTAAGGAATCGTTGGGCTGACGCCGAAGCAGAACATGGTAGCGAATCTCGTGCCTGAGCCAAATCGAACCAGAACACCAGCAATGAGCATCCTTCCTAAATCTGCGAGGGCTGACATCGAGCCAGAGCACCATAAAGAGTGAGCCTCATTCCTGGATCAAGTCGAACCAGAACACCAGAGCGGATCTCAATTCTGGATCTGCGAGGGCTGAAACCGAGCCAGAGCACTCTGCCCCCCGTGTCGACATTCTCGTGAGACGAATGCTCACATGAGTGAATCTAGTTTCTAGACCAAATCGAGCCAGAACACCCTAATGAGTTTCATGACTGGGTCTGGAAAAGCTGAAACCCAGCCAGAAGACAATAGGGAGCCCTACTTCTGCACCAAATCGGGCCAGAACATCAAAGTAAGTTTCATTTCTGGACCAAATCGGGCCATGACACCATAGTGAGCGTTGCCCGGCTGCTCTGCTGTTCCGCCGTCGGACCTGGAAGACGCCAAGCCCTGGAAGCCCCCTGTGGAGATTCTAGCGAGACAAATGTTCGATCTCTGTTAGAACCCTTTGGCGAAACGCGATTCGGGAAAATAATTGATCCGTGCATCCCGAAGCCACGATCCTTCGTACGGAAAAACCGTATGTCCACGACCCGAACTTCCAAGACGACCCAGGCAAAGATACAGGGCAATCAAGAGGGCTCAAGATGCCGCGAAGACGGGCCAATACGGCCTCAAGACGGCCCAAGATGCCTCCAAGAGGGCCCAACAGGACCACATAGGGACCTCCAACAGGGCCCGAAGAGGTCAGAATCAGTTGCTTCCCTGGAGTGGTTGGATGAATTTCGCATTCTCGCCGTTTCGGGATACTGTCAGCTCAAGACGGCCAATGAAGCCTCGACAATGACTCGAAAACAGCGCAAGAGGCCCCCATGAGGGTCCCAAGATGGCCCTAAAGGACACCACGACGGCCTGAGAAGCATCCAAAACGGCCTTTTGACAACCCAAGAGGGCCACCGCGGGACCAAACACGGCCATGGAAGCCCGTCGACAGCCCAAGGCGACACCAAGAGGGCACCACGGCAGCCCCCAGACACCCACCAGACGTCCAAGAGGGCACTAACACGGCCCAAGAAAGCCCCAAGACGGCGCAAGAGAGCCGCAATACGGCCCAAGAGGGCCCAAAGGGGTCCCGAAGACTGCTCACACGAAACCAAGACGGCGCCCAAGCGGCCAAAAAGAGTTCCATGGGAAGCTCATCAAATAGTGAAAATCGAAAATTACATGTGATTGCCTTCGTCCTTCTCCTCCTCCTCCTCCTCCTCCTCCTCCTCCTCCTCCTCCTCCCCCTCCCCCTCCCCCTCCTCCTCTCCCTGCTGCTCCTCCTCCTCCTCCTCCTCCTCCTCATCCTCCTCCTCATCCTCCTCCTAATCCTGCTCCTGTTCATGCTCCTCCTCCTCCTCATCCTCCTCCTCCTCCGCATCATCCTCCTTCTCCTCGTCATCGTCACCATCCGCATCAGCAGCTACATCATCAGCAGCAGCATCATCATCGGCATCGTCAACAGCATCGTCGTCATCACCAACACCGCCTTATCAGTATTACCATCATCAGCCTCATCATCAGCACCATCATCATCAGCAGCAGCATCATCATCATCATCATCATCATCATCATCATCATCATCATCATCATCATCAGCATCATCAGCAGCATCATCAGCCATCAGCATCAGCATCAGCATCAGCATCACCATCATCGCCATAATCAGCATCGTTATCATCATCATCATCAGCCTCATCATCATCATCATCAGCATCATCATCATCATCAGCAGCAGCAAAGACATCAGCATAGTAATCATAATCAGCATCAGCATCATCATCAGCAGCATCAGCATCATCACCATAATCATCAGCATTATCATCAGTATCAGCATCGGCATCATCAGCAACATCCTCATGACCTCCAGTACCACCATCAGCATCATAATATGCATCAGCGTCACCGTTATCGCCACCATCATTACCATCACCATCCTCGTAATCATAACCACCTCCGCAGCCGTATTCATCAGAAGCCGCATCAGCATCTGCATCATCATCAGGATCAACATCATCATCAGCGTCATCACAATCAGCAACGTCAGCATCGGAATCATCGGCACCATTATCGTGCTCATTCAGCAGCAGCATAAACATCATCATCAGCATAGGCGGCATCAATAGTTCTAGTAGTAGTAGTAGCAGGAGTAGTAGTAGTAGTAGTAGTAGTAGTAGTAGTAGTAGTATCAACACTATCAACATCATCAGCAACATCGTCATCATCATCAGCAGCAGTTGCAGCATCATCAGCAGCAGCACCACCCGTATCGACACAGCCTCATCAGCATCAGCATCATCCAAATCCTCACCCTCATCAGCATCAACATGATCATCATCATCCGCATCATCACCATAGTCGCCGACGGCGTCGTCGCCGTCGCCATCATGGCTAGCACCAATATCGCCATCGGCATCAACCTGATCATCAACATACTCAAGAGCATATGCATAATCGTAAGCAAAGTCAACATCATGATCCGCACCGTCAGCATCATCATCATCAGCATCATCATCGTTTGCAGCAGCATCATCATCAGCATCATCATCACCATCAGCATCATCATGAGTACCATAATCATCAGTACCACCATCAGCGTCGTCATCACCGTCAGCATCCGCACCGTCAGCATAATCATCATCATCCTCATCATCATCATCAGCAGCATCAGCAACATCAGTATCACAACATGTCTCCCAAACCTGGAGACAAGTGGTGTCACACGTGACGGCCGCCCGTGTCCCCTCGAACGGTCGCCACCCAAAATGCTGGGCTTGCAAGGTGTAAGGACTTGCCGCAGGCAACTGGATAGACATCATGGACGCCTCTGCGGCACGGGGTGCAACCAAGGACAAAAAATCAAGACACGCATGAAAGAACAAAATGAAATGCCTAGCCCACTCCGCTCCACTACTCGTCTTCGTCCTCCAGCTTGTTCTGTAAGTCCAGCGCCTCAAAGTACTCCCTATCTGCGTCTTCATCGGAGAGGTAGTCGCCAATGTCGTCCTATTACCCCCACGCACACACACACACACACACCGTCGACGTCCCGATGTGTTCAATCCGTAGTGTCCCAAAGCTCTCCACTCCATGGTTCGCATGGAAATCGCGCCGCAGATGTTGTTCTGAAGAACCACGGGCGCCTTCCAGGGGCCAAACCAAAAAGAGCAAACCCCAAAGCACCCTTCTCGATCGTGACGCGTAAGGCATGGGCGACGAATGAGAGAACCAGCTGAAACAATATCACAAACCCAGCGAGGAGGAGGAGGAGGAGGAGGACGAGGAGGAGGGTTGTGTCGACAGCGCGAAATATAGGGTCGACTCGCGGTGAGGACTGCAACAGCCCCAACCCACGCGAGCCCACGCCACCGCCCGGGCCGCAATACTAGCATGCTGGGGTGACGCCGAGCCAATGCGAATGCCTGCAGCCGGTCCTGGTCGGCAACGCGCATCCGAGGAGACCTTGCTTGCATCGGCGCACCATTGGGAGCTGGGCGGAGCAGAGAAAACTTATCGGAACGGCACGCGGTAACCTAGACTCACAGGGAGACAGCTTCTTATGGCAACCTAGAAGATTGCAGCTGCCGAAAAGTGTCAAGACCCCTGGACTCATGGCCGCCCCGAACTCGAGCTGCTCGAGACCGCGCAAGACCAAGGGCCGAGCAACGCGCGGCGACTACGATCCGGGCATGTCCGAGTGAGCCTGCGGCAACCGCAGACAAGCTCTGGGCAACTCGGAGCATGCGGACGCCGCTCCCTGCAGCAAGGGAACGCGAGGAGCCCAGTGCAGCAGCCGCCCGCGCAGCACGGAGGACCCTGCACCTGCAGCAAGAGGACGCCCCGCGACCATGACCACAACCCGAGCAGCCCAGGGGAACCCGCAGCAGCTGCAGGCGACAGGTAAACCTCGGTCAGACAAGCCCTGGGCATGCGGGCCCGCAGGGCCTCGCACGCTACCGACCGCACGCGCGCATCCGCGTCTGCTGCGAGATTGATCGGCACGGCCCGCACGGCCAGCCCCAGCGCGAGGCCGCTCGCGCCTCAGCGGGCCGCCCGGTCGCCGCCCGACGCCTTCCCAGACCAGACCCCCCACGTCGTGATGTCCTCCCGACGTGGACATCCAGCGTTCTGGACCCCTTTCTGGGGACTGGCTCTTCTTCATTCAGGGGGGCGTAAGACCCGGGTACAGGGGACTCGGAAATCCCCGACGAGGTCGTCAAAAAAATGACGAGGCCGAGCCTGCATTCTGACGAGGCCTCCCGCTGCAGACATCCCACGAAACTCCTCCTCGTCAAAATCCGAGGCGCGGTCGTCAAAAAACGATGACGAACCCGAGTCCTGGCAAACCCGGGTCTTACGCTCCCCCGATTCTGGGGACTGGCTCTTCTTCATCCTCAGTCGTCGGTCCCAAGGCCCAGTGATGATCCCCGTTGGAAGCTGTGGGAAACCTCCCCTCGTGATTTCTGTCACGACGCGAGGATCCATGGTGATCGGGGCCTCCAACTCGACAGCCTGCACGGCAGACTCCGGTGGCCACCGGCCCCGCGGCGGGCCACCCGGGCCCTGCGAGCTGCTGGAGGACGCGCGCGCCGCGTCGAGCTCGGCCAGCACCTCGAAGGTGGAACGCAAGGTACGGGAACAGCGCCCCTGCACCGTACTATGTCTGAACTCCCTTCAGGCCCCGCTCCAACGCTTCACCCTGCACAGGTGCTCGGCCCTGGGCGCCGCAAAACTAGGCACAGCAGTACCCATCGGTCGGAAGAAGTAGGTATATTCGCGAAGTAGGAAGGCGTTGGGAGTAGATTGAGTTTCCGCCCGCCTCCTGAAGAGGAGGGAATAAGGGAAACCCACTCGACTCTTGAAATAGGACGACGGTATCCGAAAATACCTACTTTCAACAACCGATGGGTATTCCTGGGTCGACGATCAACGACGCCTTGGTAGACGCCAGCGTGGCACCGTGCACACAAGCTGGGCGCGGACAGGGAGCAGCAGGCCGCCCTGCTCGCGGCTGAGCAACGGGGTGCCGAGCAGGTGGCTTCTCGCAGCGGGCCGCCAGGGTCCCGCATGCGAGGGCGCCCGAGTCTGGAGGCCCCGGGCGAGCTTTGTGCTGCCCGTCCTTGGCGGCGGGCCTGGCTCGCAACGGGCCGGCCAGCCCGTGGCCGTCTCTCCTGCACATGAGCCGCATCGCGAGCTCCACATCACCCGCCATACGTTAGCTGCACATGACGCAATTCGCCCAATGGCTTGAGCCAAAATGGGCCAGGGAAAGCTGACGGGGTCGGACCGTTCACCTGTGCACTCGCTTGCACACACCGACCCGCCAAACCAACCCCTTCCAGTGGTTGCAACACCCACGCCTGCGGCGATGCTCAAGATCAACCTGGCTTCTCGAAAGCCCGACGAACGCAATTGCCCTGGAGAGGCCTTCAGAAAGTGAACGAAAGAGGCGGAGAAAAGAGAAATGAGGGTACGTGATATGATGAGGGAAAAGAAAGAGGAGGACGAAGAGGTGAGGAAGGAGGGGGAGAGAGGAGAAAAAAACGGAAGACGAAGAAGAGGGAGGAAAGAGGAGCAGGAGGGAGGAAGGGGAGGAAGGGAGGGAGGAGAGACGAGCAGGAGGGAGAAGATGACGAAGAAGAAGGGAAGGAGGGGCACGCTTGGGAACGACCTGGCCATGCCTGAGTAGGCAGTAGGCCGTGCTAATTATGCCACTCCACGTGGCCACCCTTACAGCAACTCCCAGCCTGTCGACTGCGCCCTCGGCTTCTGCACCACACTAGAAAGCAGAAAGTCCACCCCGATAATAACCACAACGGCACGCGAAGTCGTTTAGTAAACGCGCCCAAAGAAGGAATCGAAAAGGGCAGGGCTGTTTAGTAAACGCCCAGGGCCGTTTAGTAAACGCAAAATGTTCGGTCCAGGTGGTTTTTTCCTCCCCTGGCATCATGCGCTCTCCTGGCATAACCTCATGTCATCCACCAGCTGCACGCCAAGCCGCCAAGCTGGCCCCTTGTCCTCCAACTTTGGGGGAACCAAGAGGCACCGATACCGCTACTCCCCGGACCTCTTCCCGGGGTGCGTTCTGACAAGAATTTCGGAGCGAATCCACCGGTGGCGACGAGGGCCACCCAGGAAGCCCAAAGGAGGGAAAACAAGGGACGGGCAGCGGTATCGGTACCGCTTCCCCCTCTGAAGCTGATCCTTCAAGCCAGACGGTGGCGCGGTCGACCACGAAGCCCGCACACGACCGCCCCCCCCTGATACTCCGCTCGTCCATCAGGCCAGAGGGCCGCGCGGTCCACCGCGAGCCCCTACGCTCCGTGCCCTTTCCCGCTTGTCATCCGGCCGCGCGGACCGTCGAGAGGCCTGAGGAGGAGGAGGAGGAGGAGGAGGATGAGGAGGAGGAGGAGGAGGAGGAGGAGGAGGGAGGAGGAGGAGGAGGAGGAGGCCTGCGAGACGTGCCCGCGCTCCCCTGCTCCGTCGCGCCCGAGCTGCCGCGGCGAAGGAACGCTCGGCGAGCAGGCGTCGTCTCGGCTCTAAGTAGGGAGGCACTCCCACCTCGGCCACAGAGGCTGGGGAGGGGAGGAGGGAGAGGAGGGAGACGGAGGACGAGGGAGCAGGAAGACGGGGGGGGAGGGGGAGGAGCATACAAAAACACAACAAGGAACAACGCAAAACAATACCAAGTGAACAGGACAGCCGAGGGAATCAAGAGCGAGGAGAGGAGGGTCAAGCCCATCGCCCCCGAGGGGAGGACTCAGCTACATGCAAGAATGGCCCTGGGCAGCTGGGCAAGAGTGACTTTTGGCGCGTGGTCTGCAGGCCGCTGCATGCAAGGCGACAGTTGAAACCCGCACGCTTGGGTATGGCCCCCGCGCGCCCCGAAAGCCGCGCTCCAAAGGTCACTATGGCGAAGCGCCCCCCCCGTTAAACCCAATCATTGATTTGTTCAGTGCGGGGCCCGGAAGTTGCGACCCTTTCCGTCGTGTATTTTTCCCCCGAAGGGACCACGAGAGAAACGACCTCCAAAACACTGGACGCCCGAAATGCGTACGGAAAATAAAATAAAATGTTGTCCCGAACGAACAGCGGCCAGCTCCTCGTCGTCGAAGCTCCCCCCCGCCTCGAGGAACGCCCGCGCGGCATCCTGCGACGCCGACGCCGACGCTGTCGCGTCAATGTCTGACAACATGTGCGCTACCACCCGTGGTTCTAACGAAGCCCTCAGATAGTGTACCTTTACTTCAAGAGGCCCCCTATGATGGTCTCCGCCTTCGAGCCCCCTGAAGACTCCATCCTCTTTTGCAACATGTACCCCGCGGCAATTGATCCCTGAACCTGGGACTCAGGCCCCAGCCCAACCAAGATTCCAACCTACAAAGCATGAGATCCCAGAGCACATGAATGCCATGCTCTCTCCTTAGCCGCCCCCGTGCCCCTGCACGCTAACGAAACATTGGGACGCCGATTAGCTGTCTAGTGGACTTCTGCACTTTTCCGGGGGGCCCCCCAATCAGCGCACCTGCCCAAAGAAAGGTACTCCCGCTTGTGTGCTCCGTCGCCCTTTCCAGCATGCAGATGGGCTCCAGGAAGGCCCAAAGACCGCTCCGAGACGGCTTCAGCAGAGTCCCAGACCGCCTCAAGACACCTCCAAGCGCTCCCCAAGAGGTCCCAGGGAACCCCGAAATGGAACACTCAAAGAAGCGTCCAGCGAGGCTTGGAGAGACCGAGGCAATGAAAAACATGTGGAAACTCCATCGGTGTTGCTGCCGATGCCTCTCGGTGGCAGATCGCCCCAGGACAGCTTCAGAGAGCTCCGAGAAGCCCCCCAAGTACGACCCAGGAGGGCCATCCAGAAGTGCCCCTGGCCCAAAGGTACCCCCCCCAAGGTTTCCGAGGAGCCCCACGCCCTCCAGAGCACGCTTCGCGAGGCACAGAGTGCCCCAGGGGGCTCCAGGGACCCCTTTGGCAACCCCTGGTCACGGCCCCAAGACGGCCTCGACACTGCCCCCGAACCAACCCAAGCTGGCACAATAATGCTTCAAGACACGCCAAAATTCGCCCGGCCGCCCCCAAAGCGGTACAAGGGAACCTCTTCGGAAGGGCTCTGCAGAACCACCGCGCACGGGGCCGCCCTAAGACATCCAACCGGTCCCTCGCGTGGCCCACAACAGGTCCTGAGAGGTTCCGAGAGGGGCGAAAGAGGGCCCCAAAATGCTTCTCACGAAGCCGCCAAAATGGTTTCAGGAGGGAGGAGAGAGCAAGGGAGAGGAGAGGAGAAGAAGGCATGAGCGAGGCTGCGGACGAAGGGAGCGGGGTAATGACCCGCGCCAGCTCAGTCGGGACGCTGGACCACAGCGGGTTTTCAACCAAAACTCCTGCCCCATGCACGCGGTAGCCCGGCTTAACTTCAACCCTTCACTACCACCAGCCCCGCCGAGCCTCTCGTCTTCATCATCGTTATTCCCACGATTATCGCTAAATCCCTCACCCGAGCGGGGGAATACTCATCCATGAGTCTTCTTCTGCACCTGCACATTCAGACCAAGCAAAGTGATATTCCAAAACTGGCGGGGAGAATCCTTTCATCCCACGGCCGGCCCTTCTGCGAAAGAGGCACGCGGCACTAGGGAACACGCGCATGCAGTGGGCGTTACGCGCCCGATAAGACACAGTAGACGCACGAGCACGTTGCGCACTCCACGCAGGCGATCCAAAGAATGGTCCCCGATCCCGCCCATCCATTTCGAGAGCGCGGCAAGATACGCAGCATCCCCTGCGGGGCGCCGTCGCTGTCCTCCTCGCTCATGTAGCCGTCCTCGCCGATCCCGTAGCCGTCCTCGGGCTCAAAATCCGTTGCAACATAGATCCCAAACACACATTCGACCAGCGCTGAGCAGAAAGCGCCCGGTGTGGTACTCCCGAATGGCGCCTCACTTCAAGGCTCGAAGAAAGAATGGCCAAAAATCGCCCAACTGAACCGCCCCCAAGAACATGACCCTCTTTTGTCGCGAATGCTGTCGCGGCCTCGAGAGCGGACTGCTCCCCTGGCGCCCTCCCAGAACAAGCGCCTCAACGCCAGATCATTGCCAGCACTAGGGAATGATAGGGTGCGAGCCACGCTCCCGGCTGTGCCGCACAGGCCCCCTGAATTACCAAATGCTCACCACAGTCTCCTCAGTGCGTCGCCCACGACCCAGCGCCTGCTTCTCACCATCCTATGAATCTGTCCGCACGTGTCCCCCACAGTGCCGCGGGGCACCGACTGGAATGCCCGCAGGTCCCCTCGAGTCCTCCCGACTGAGCGCCACGGAAAGAATGAAGCCTCCCTCTGGCTTGCAGAAGCATCGAGATACACGAGGAGCGCTGGAAGAACAACCATAGGCTACCGGGGGAGACCTAAGGGTGGTGGCTGCCCCCGTGGGCCTGGACCTTTCCCGGGATGCATTCTAACAGGAATTTCGAAGCGATCCAGCCGTGGCGACGAGGGTCTTCCAGGAGGCCCAAAAAGGCAGAAACGAGGCAAGGGTAGCGGAGGGGTAGTCCCAAAGCAATTATAACGCAACTTAGCAAGTTAGCGAAAACAACGCCAGCGACTGTTTTAAACCACGCCCACGTGGTTTAAAACAGTCGCAGGCGACTATCTTAGACCACGCAAATGTTGATATACGATAGCGATGATGGCGCTTTTGTTTTCCGTGATTCCACATCTGCGGCTTCACAGAGGCGGCATCCAGTAGCTCAAGGCGCCATAGCGATGATGATGGTATTCCACGGTTGACGAAGCCCGCCCACGGCACTCCACGGTTGACGCCGTCGCAAACGGACTCGACGGAGCCCAAGTGCCCACGGCCGCCTGCTCGCGTTCGCCAGGCCGCGACTGCGGCTTCGCAATTTCAGCTGCGGAACCCCAGGAAGCCCAGGAATCCCAGCGCCATGTCCAACTCCCTGACCACCAGTCCTGCGAACTGCTACTTGGCCAACTGCCGAAGTGCTCCACATGAGCCGCGACTGCGGCATCAGGGCCACGAGCCGCCGCCACTGCGGCATCAGGTGGTGCTGGTGGTCGCCCTTGCCCTCGCCCTCGCCCCTGCCCTGGTCGCCCTTGCCTGGGTTGCCCTCGCCCTTGCCGCGGACGCCCTCGAGCTGCCCCCCCTTCGGGCGGCCCCCCTTCGGATGGCCGCCCTCCGCTTTATCGCGCCTGTTGTGCCGCTTCGTCTGCCTCTCCACCTGTTTCGCCGGCGACCTGCGGGGCCGGTTGCGCGTGCGCAACAGCAATGGGAAGCGCGCTCCGTTGCGCGCCTTTCCTTGGAAACCCTTCCAGATATCGACGCTCAGCTGTTTCTGCGTGGTTTTCAATGGGCGGGCCCCCCATCCTTTGGGTTCTGAGCGCCCCTCTTTGGTCTGCGCCGTCTTTCTACTGGACTCCGCGACTGCGGCTGTAGATTTTGCAGGCGGCGTCAGAAAAGGGCGCAACTTATCCTCTTGGGCCAAGCTCTTGAGCAAATATGTCTCCAACGGCTTCCCCGGACCATTCGTGCAATCGAACGCCTGGAATGCGTCGGACTCGCACTGCGAGGAGAGCCCGTCGCTGCCATCGTCTAAAATGATCAGGCCTTTGGCGAGGCGGTGCCCCCCAGGCAGGCCGGCGAAGATAATCGCCATGCCATCTGCCCTCGGCGCGCCGCCCGGGGTCTTCAAGGGGGCCCACGCGGCCGCGCCCATGATCAGGCCGCGACTGCGGCATTTTGTGACCACGTCGAACACGCGCATGTTGAAGTCCCCCACGCACGCTTGCACGTTGCGCCGCTGGACGCACTCTACGAACCAATCGTAATAGTTGTCCAGCTTGCTCTTGCCACAATCGCCGCTGGCCAACTTGTCGCGCGCGCGCTGCCACGGCGGTGACTTCGGAACCCAAGTGCGCCATGAAATGGTCCAGGGATATGCGCGCGGCGAGGGCCCAGGAATACCCGTTGTAGACGCCCCCTGCTTTCGTCTTCTCCTGTTCGTGGAAGACCCCCTCGAAACCGAGGCACTCAATGTTGCCGCAACTGCGGTCTCTGACGCCAATAAGAAGCGCCCCCTTCTCTCCGCCGCCCTTCGCGCGCAAGCAATTGCAGCGCGCTCGACCTGCGCGCGCCTCGCCCGCCACTGCGGCTGCGCTCTCGGCGGCGGCGCTTTCCCCAGAGAGCGCGTGGAACAGCTCGTCGTCGCACTCGCAGGCGGCGATGATGCGCGCGGGTTTCGCGGGCATCTGCAAGCGCCCGCCCTGCCGCCGCTCGCGATTCGACGGACTGGCCCCGAAATTGCACGCGCGGAAACCTAGCCCCCCCCCCCCACCCACCCACCCACACGTCCTCTCCAGCCATCTCTTCCCAATGGCGGCGAGCGTCACTCATGTTCTCGGGCGGCGCGCTTGTCTTCTGGACGCGAACCTCTTTCTCCCGGGGTCGCTTTTTTGTCTGGCGCGCCGCCGCAGCTGCGGCCCCCGCGCGAGGACTTCCCCCCGCCGCAACTGCGGCCTCGCGGCCCTCCTCCCCATCTGCGGCACAGCTGCCCCCGAAGAGACGGCGCAGCTGTCCCTGTCTTGAATGAAACCGTCGGTGCCATATCCAGAATCGCCGTCGTCCGCGACTGCGGCGGCGTGGATCTGCTCCAGAACCAGTCCGCGAGCAACTTGGACTCCGGAGCCAGCGGCGCCGCTGCCGGCCGCGCGGCGGACGCATGCACTCGGCGGCCGCGGGTTCGCCGACGGCCACATTGCTGCCCCTGCCGACGGCCGCGGCCTCGTTTGCCAGCGGCGGCTCTTCGAGCCGCGGATAGCCATCGCGCGGAGTGCTGAGGGCGAGGGGGGGTGGAGCGACGGCCGCAGGATGGCCGCGCGGCTCTGACGCGGCGCGGCGGAGGAGGAGGCGGAGAGCGAAAATAGCGAGAAGGAGGAGCAGCAGCAGCTGGACGGGGGGGGGGGGGGGAGGAGGGAGGAGGGAGGAGGGAGGAGGGAGGAGGGAGGAGGGAGGAGGAGGAGGAGGAGGAGGGGGAGGAGGCGATAATTCGCGAGGATGTTTCTTCTTCCCGCGCAACGACGACGGAATCGCAGCTGCGGCAACGCCTCGCAACAACCGCGGCCACGTAACTAGCAACCGCGGCCACTTACAACGCGACTGCTGCCAGGAGCGGCACCCGCAGGAATCGCCGGCGCCATCTGACCGCCTAGGAAGTCTCACCGTTTGATTGCGCGCGAATGGCGACAGCGCCGCGCGATTCCCATCTGCGGCGTCATTGGCGACGTTCTGCATCCACCCCGCGAGCGTCATTGGCCACTCCTCCTTATGTCCCTTGCTCATCTCGTCGTCCCAGTTCGTTTTGAGCCACGCACACTCGCGTCTCTGCGCATCCGACAGAACGCCCTTGCCGCGAGCCGGGCGATCCAGAGCCGCCATCCGGTTTCTTCTCTGCAGCTCGAATTCCTCTGACTTCCACTGCGCCAGGGCGAACTTGCTCGCCAGCGCCGCCCCCGCCGCGACTGCGGCCTCTGATCGCTCTCCAGGCGGCCTCCGACTCCCGAAGCCCACCAGCCCTCTGGGCGAAGGTGGTCTAGAACAGATCCTCTTCCACCCCTCCCTCTTCCCCCTTGGGGAGGGATTTACCCCCCCCCCCTGCCCCGCCCCCCCCCCCCCCCCCCTCGGACCTGGGCGGGGGGGGCCCCGCGCGATCGGGCGGCTCTTTTGGCCCCAAGATGGCTTCAAGAGCGCGTCAGAGAGCCGAAGATGAGCTCCAAGATGGCTCAAGATAGCGCAAGATCGCTCGAGATGGCTCCTAAGATGGTTCCAAGAGGCCCAAAGACGGCCCCAAGACGACTCCAAGTGGCCAAAGAGCTCCCCACGGAGGCCCCGAAGAGGCCAAAATCGTTCCAAAACCTTAGGGAAATCAATGTGCGCTGCTTTCTCCCCGTTTCGCTTCCGATGGCCATCCAAGGCCTCAAGATGGCTCCGCGATGGCCCGCGAGGGCCCCACGAGAGGCCCAAGAGAGCCAAGACGGCCCCAAGAGCGCCCAAGAGCGCTCCAAGAGCGCGCCCCAAGAGGCGATGTTTGGAGCTCCTGAGGGGGGGGGGGGGGGGGGGGGGGGGCTAATTAGGGCCCCCCCTTCGTCGATCGATCTCCTCCAAGATGGCCCCAAGAGCGCCCCCACAGCCCCCAAGAGCGCCCCAAGAGCGCCCCAAGAGGCGCCCAGACGGCCCCAAGAAGCGCCCAAGAGGCCCCCAAAAGGCCCCCAAGAGACCCCAAGGAAGCCTCAAGAAGATCTCCGAAATGCATTTACGACGCTTCTGGCTCTTCGGTTCGCCGTCCTCTTCAACCTCTCATCCCCCTCTTCCTCCTCCTCCTCCTCCTTATCCTCCTTCTCCTCCCTCTGCTCCTTCTCCTCCTTCTCGTCCCCCTCGTCCTCTCCCTACTCCACACCCTCCTCCTCATTCTCCACCCCCCCTCCTCCCCCCCCTCTTCCTCCCCCTCCCCCTCCGACGAAGATTCCTTCTCCATCCTCCCCCTCTTGGGGTGCGTGACAGATTCCCCCGCCCTTTGATATCCTGCATGCTTCCCGACTTCCCTGATCATTTCAACTCCCCTGGGCATCGTTCCTGGATGGGCTGGTGGGGACGCGCGAAGCGTCAACAATTTGTTTCCTCGGGCCTCGAAGCGCCAAAGTCCAGTCGTTCGCTTCCCGCGCCAATCGCCGCCGCTTCGGCCGCCTCTGCGGCCCTGTGGCCCCTTCGCGCCGCCAAGGCTCGCGAGGCGCCGTCGCCCTGGCGAGACAGCTCTCGCATGCGCCTTCGTTGCTTC